TCAATTACCCTCTTTATTTAATTGTTTTTGCATGAACAACCACCTCGACGAGAGGTGTGCTACGAAGGGGAAGAGGGAGGGGTGATTCAGTCTTATGCTTTTATTTTTTGTGCAAGAATAGAAGTAAAAAATTTCAAACAAAAAAGAGGAAGAAGGATTTGTTGCGACCCAAAAAATTCATGGTTTGGCCCAAATAAATTATTAGCCCAGAACGACAGTCCAAGCGTAAAGCGGAGTACACAAAAACCCACCGCATGCACATGGCACGCTAAATAAATAAATTCGCTAGGGGTTGAAATAAAATATACCGGGTCTACAAGCCCATGCCAAAATTAAACATCACAGCCATTCTCAGGAACGATAAATTAAAACATGCCAAGCACGAAATCCTTATCTCACACCCAATCACGCTACAAGCCTAAGTGGGCCCAAGCCACTCAAATGCCCCGGGCTTGCTTGAGTGGGTTGTGGAATGGATTGTAATAAATCAACATGAGGCCCATTGATGGGCCGAGAAATGGAAAGTCTCTGGTTGCTTGGGAGCCTCGAGCCGCTAGCCCATTTCTTAGGCCCAAACATGTGGGTGAGCACAAGAGAGAAAAATAGCTCAATAGCCCTAGCAAAATAGCCTATGGACACAATCAAAAAGCCCAATATTTAACAAAAAGGCCCACTTGCTTAGGGAATCACCTTGGCCCATGTAAAACTCCAAAATAAGCCACAAAGCCACAGCCCTTTGCTAAAAAATAGAAATTACGTTTTACAGAATCATTGAACAAGGACTGCTGGAGGTTGCAGCACATGAGGGAGCAAGTTCCAAGCCATAGACGCTCAAAGAACCAAGGAATACTAGCATTGAGGCTGTCAGAAGAACCCTTTGGACCAACGTATATTTTCACTTCCTTTCCTTCATCAGATTTAGCCAAAGAAGGAGGAAGGAAAGAAGAAAAAACAGTAGCCAAGAATGGAAGTTCCCACTGAACAACTACGGGAAAGGGGGCATTGAGCTCCCAAATTTCCTGAATTCATGCAAATAGACAGAGGCAATTTTTACCAAGATAGGGAAGTCAAAGAAGAAGAGGAGAAATGAGGAAAAAGGTTAGCCAAAATGGGTAGAAGCCATTAGGGTTTCTTGAAAAATGGTGGTTTCCAGCGGCTATAAATTGAGGCTTCCCCTACCTAACAGAGGCAACTCAGATTCAGAGAGTAAGCCTTCTCTCTAACTTGCAAAAACCCAACAATCTCGTGCACTGTTCATCTTCTTCTCCATTTTATTCTTCTGGTAGCTGCCAGAAGAACTCTGCTATTCATTTTCTCTTTCCTTAGCCAAATCCCTCACAAAACATCTCATTTCTTACCTTAACACTTTCTTTTCTCATAAAGCAAGCCTAAATTCTCTCTAGGTGCTAAACTCATGTTGATTTTGCTCACATGCCACATGCCACTCACGCAGAGCTAAAAAGATTATCTGTAAGTAGCCATTATTTTGGTTAGTGAAGGTAACCAAAATATTTCATAAGGCTTTGCTGCCCTTTCGAAGTATTTTTGGGGCTTAATTTTCTAACTCAAACAAATTGGACAGTCTCCTCAGTCTGCCCTTTACAGCAGCCCAGCCCATTATAGTTGCAGGAAGAAAAAGTCCCCTACAGGATTATTAATTCTTGTAAAGTGTTGAGTTTAAATGCACATAAAAAAAGGGTAAACTGCCGAATACCCCCTTGAACTATCATGCTTGTCGAAACTCCACCCAGAATTAATTTTTCATCCAATTTAGCCCTTGTATTAAATTTACTCGCCAACTTCACCCTTGCCGTTAGCTTTTGACAATTTCCATCCAAATCTCTGTCAAAAAAGTACCATGTTAGGCGTATACTTCATTGTTGAATTAAAAATTCATTTTTTTTTCACTGTATCTTCAAAGAGCATGAATGGGGAAGAAATAAATCATGGGGAGAGGGGGGAGAGGGGATTCTGGTTTCTGAAATTGTGGGTTGGGAGGACGGGGGATGGATATGTGGGTGGGGGGTTGGTGGCCGGGATATGGGGGCAGAAGAAATCATAATGTGTTAGAAGAAATTGGGGGAGGGGGTGCTGATTTTGGGTTTTGCGGGGTAGGGGGAATGGGGGAAACTAGAATTTATAAAGGAAGCTGAAACTAGGAAAAGAACTCCAAGAACTAGCAAAACCCAATCCTTGCCAAGTTTAAACTTTATGAACCATACAAAATTGACAACACCCAAGGTGGTTCCAACCGTGAATTCTTCAGTTAATTAAAAACACCATTTTTTTTTTTTTTTTATAACAAAAACATTATCTGTAAAACTATAAATACTTATCTGCTGGTATGCTTTCATATAGAGATTTTCTATTTAAACCCCACACTTCACTTAGTTCACCCCAATGTTCTAAGTTCACCCTAACTTTTAATTAAAATTTTCACAATTTCTAATAAAACCCCACTATCTTCCCAAACTACCCTTAAATACACCCCAAACTGAAAATAAAAATAAAAATAAAAACTAAAATAGATTTTCTATTTAAACCCCACAATTTTCTTTGTTCCCAGCAAAAAAAACACAAACAAATGAAACCCCAAATTAGAAATTTAATACTTTCTAGAGAAGGAGGTTTCTAAAACTTAATATGAAGAGTGGTGGGGTGTGTGGGGTGTATAGATGTACTAGGGTTAATTATTAGTTGGATGACCTTTTTTTTTCTTTTTACACAATAATAAAACTTATAGTTTAATGATTTAAGTATTGGGGTGAACAAAGATAAGTGCGGGGTTTAAATAGAAAATCTCTTAATATACACTATGTTAATTTGGTAGAAAGGGCATCATAAATTATTTCGACTTTTAATTACTATATAGAAAGAAGTAATTGGAACTTTTAATTATTTCAACACAATCGAGGGGAGGGGGCAAGGGGGTTCTGGTTTCTGCGAGTGCGGGGTGGGGGGCGTGTCGTCTGTAGGTGGTGGTTGGGAAATTGGGGAGAAGAAATTGGTGGGAGGTTTTCTTTTTCTCTATTTGATTTTTTTATTATACATTTTCCTTATTTTTCTTAATTCTGTACCTTGTAAAATGTCAAATTTATCCTTATATTTGACGGATATTTGGATGGAATTGTGAAAAAACTAATGGCATGGGTGAAATTGGCTAATAAATTTGATACAATGGCTAAATTGGCTGAAAAATTAATTCAGAATGGAGATTTCGACAAGCGTAATAGTTCAGGGGGCATTCGATAGTTTACCCTTAAAAAAACTTAAAAAATTTGCCTTGAACATTTGTTATCTACTATCATTTGCATTTTATATGTGCGCCGTATTAATCATTCTTTCTTCTTTGTAGATGTGGATTAGGACAAAACAATGTGCCAATCCCCTTGCAAAATGAATCTTCTTTCGATATTTGTTTAACCAAATTTACTCAATTAGCCTTTTTATTTAATTATTTCTCTTCCCATATATTTAGTACATTGTAAATGTTGTCTGTGAATGCGAGCGTATATCTTAACATCTTAGTAACTTTTTGAGTATGCTATCGATTTTAGGCTATTAATAGTGCTTGGAAAGAAGCATGCGCATCCACAACTCCGACCATGGTTGTGATAGCAAAAGGAAACTACATGGCCGGTCCAGTGAAGTTTCAAGGGCCCTGCAAAGCGTTGGTTAGCGTTCTAGTTGAAGGAACCCTGCAGGCTCTTGCAGAGCCAGAAAAGCTCAAGTCACAAGATGGTTGGGTCGTTTTCCAAAATATTGATGGGTTAACAGTCTCAGGAGGTGGCACTTTTGATGGCCAAGAATCAATGGCTTAATCCAAAAATGATTGTGTAAAATGCAACTCACCGCCAAGAGTACATTTTTAAATTTGGAGTGCACGTTTTTATTTATTTATCAATCTTGTGTGCTAGAAACGGAGGCTAACAAATAGAGTTTGCTCAATTGGGTTTCTTGAATGCAGAACATAAGATTCACAGGGCTCACCAATTCACAAATTTAAGACATAACATCTTTGAACATCAAGCTGTTTCACATAAACGTCTTAAAAAATTGCAAAAAATGTGACACTTGAACATGTGATCATCACCACCCTTGGTGAAGCATGCATTGGATAAGGCCCTCACTCACTCCTTATAAACTCAGGCTAGATCCCTTAACTTTTTAATGTGAATATAAAACGAATTTCCAATAGTTATTTATCTTGTCACGACTGCTTTGTTACAAATTATGGTCAAGAATTTATTAGTTTGATTAGTGCGTTCGGAAACAATTTTTGGTTTATGAGAAATCAATTTTGTGTGTGTATTTTTTCGGTAATCTTTGCACCAAATTGGAGTATAACAGGTTTAGTACTTTTGGTTTATAAGTCATCCATGTCATAAATCTTTTCTTTCTAATCTGACATAGTCTTGGAAGAAAAAATCTTTTGCCCAAATTGGAAACTGAGCCAAGAGCCATTGTAGGTAATTCATGTTCTAAAAGCTGAGCAGCTTAATTAATTACTAATTATAGGATGGTTGACCTACATTCAACTTCTTAATTGGCCAAATAAATATTAACGGTGATGAGCTTTCCGATGGGAGTATAAATTGGGCTGAAAGCATTGGAGTTTCATCATACTCCAAACAAAAAGGAAATAACAAAGTCTCAAGATGGGTTTGAAACTGAAAAATGTCTTGCCAATGTTTGTGTTCTTGTTGTTAGCATCCACAGCTAAAGCTCAATCTGCTGCCTTAGATGTGACAAGTGCAAAATATGGTGGAAAGCCAGACGCTGATATTACCCAGGTAACAAAAACATTTGTATTCATAATCGGTTCTTATTAGAATTTGTTTCTACAATTGTTTGCCAAACTAAATCATTAACAGTTTTAAATTTGGGTAATGTTAATTAGGCTTTGGAGAAGGCTTGGACAGATGCATGTGCATCAACAGCACCAAGTAAAATTGTTGTTCCAAAGGGAACATTCAAGTTTGTAGGAACAACTTTTAAAGGTCCTTGCAAGGCTGCTATTGAGTTTCAACTCCAAGGAACATTGCAGGCTCCAGCAGATGGCAGCCAGCTCCCAAAGGACGACACTTGGATTGGTTTCGACAACGTCGACGGGCTCACCTTGTCAGGTGGTGGAACTTTTGATGGCCAAGGAGCACTGTCTTGGAAAAACAATGATTGCAACAAAAATAGACAATGCAAATCTAAACACATTGTAAGATGATTTAATCCTACCATGTTGTTTTATATACTTGAAAATCTTCTTGTGTCACATAGGAGCATTTGCGAAATCTTGCTCATTGATCAATTCTTGACTTGATGATACGTGATCCAGATTCACAGCCTGACAATAACAACATATTTGTGTTTGATTTGTTTTCTTAATATATGCAGAATTTGAGGTTCCATTTACTCACCAATTCCAAAATTTTGGATGTAACTTCAAAAGATAGCAAAAATTTCCACGTCAATCTTTTGAAGTGCGAGAAGGTTGAAATCAACGGATTTACCGTCTCAGCACCTAAGGAAAGCATGAACACAGATGGAATTCACATCGGTCGTTCAACTGGGATCAACATCACTGACACAACCATCGGAACTGGGGATGATTGTATTTCGATCGGTGACGGTACCAAGGACCTCACCGTGACCAACGTTGCTTGCGGGCCAGGCCACGGCATAGCCATCGGAAGCCTTGGAAGGTACCCAGAGGAAGAACCCGTGTCCGGCATCAATATTAAGAAATGCACCTTGACTAATACAACGAATGGTGTGAGGATCAAAACATGGCCTGCTTCCCCAAAAGATGGCACTGCCTCGGATATTCACTTTGAGGATATTACCATGGTTAATGTTGGTAACCCTATCCTCATTGACCAAGAGTACTGCCCATGGAACGAATGCAAAAAAGGGGTATCTATCTATAACAATTTATTCACATCATATATATGTTCCTTGTTAATCAAGTCATCCTTTACTTAATCTTTAAAAAGATTTAAATTAATCAATTAATGAATGGTTTTGTGTAGGCTCCTTCCAAAATTAAGATCAGTAATGTTAGCTTCAAGAACATCAAGGGCACCTGTACCGACCCAGTTGCTGTGAAGCTTGCATGCAGCCCAGGCCTGCCATGTGAGAATGTAGAATTGAGTGACATTGATCTCAAGTACATTGGAGACAAAGGCCCTATTACCTCTGTGTGTTCTAATGTCAAGCCGACAATTAATCGCGTGGCACAGCCTCTTGCTTGCGCTACCGCCGCTGTTGCTGCCCCTGCTGCTTGATCTAACAAGCGCAAACCATGCTGCTGATGTTTCTTCAAAGATACATTGGTTGTGTGCTCTTCGATTTTGTGATAATTGTACTTGGTGTTTTCATCTAAGAGGTGGAAAATATCTCAGTGCATTTTTTTGTTACATCTTAAAAGAGATGAATAAATTAGTAGGTATTACATGAAAATAATCATGGGAAAGAGAAAGAAAGTTTTATTTGATTAAAAAAGAATGTTATTGGAATATGAATCTTCTTTGGATATTTGTTTAACCAAATTTACTCAATTACCCTCTTTATTTAATTGTTTTTTCATGAACGACCACCTCGACGAGAGGTGTGCTACGAAGGGGAAGAGGGAGGGGTGATTCAGTCTTATGCTTTTTATTTTTTGTGCAAGAATAGAAGTAAAAAATTTCAAACAAAAAAGAAGAAGAAGGATTATTAATTCTTGTAAAGTGTTGAGTTTAAATGCACATTAAAAAAAGGGTAAACTGCCGAATACCCCCTTGAACTATCATGCTTGTCGAAACTCCACCCTGAATTAATTTTTCAGCCAATTTAGCCCTTGTATTAAATTTATTCGCCAACTTCACCCTTGCCGTTAGCTTTTGACAATTTCCATCCAAATATCTGTCAAAAAAGTACCATGTTAGGCATATACTTCATTGTTGAATTAAAAATTCATTTTTTTTCTCTGTATCTTCAAAGAGCTTGAATGGGGGAGAAATAAATCATGGGGAGAGGGGGGAGAGGGGATTCTTGTTTCTGCAATTGTGGGTTGGGAGGACGGGGGATGGATATGTGGGTGGGGGTTGGTGGTCGGGATATGGGGGCAGAAGAAATCAGAATGTGTTAGAAGAAATCGGGGGAGGGGGTGCTGATTTTGGGTTTTGCGGGGTATGGGGAATGGGGGAAACTAGAATTTATAAAAGAAGCTGAAACTAGGAAAAGAACTCCAAGAACTAGCAAAACCCAATCCTTGCCAAGCTTTAAACTTTATGAACCATACAAAATTGACAACACCCAAGGTGGTTCGAACCGTGAATTCTTCAGTTAATTAAAAACAACATTTTTTTTTTTTATAACAAAAGCATTATCTGTAAAGCTATAAATACTTATCTGCTGGTATGCTTTAATATAGAGATTTTCTATTTAAACCCCACACTTCTTTTAGTTCACCCCATGTTCTAAGTTCACCCTAACTTTTAATTAAAATTTTCACAATTTCTAAGAAAACCACACTATCTTCCCAAACTACCCTTAAATACACCCCAAACTGAAAAAATAAAAATAAAAATAAAGAACTAAAATAGATTTTCTATTTAAACCCCACAATTTTCTTTGTTCCCATAAAAAAAAACAAACAAATGAAACCCCAAATTAGAAATTTAATACTTTCTAGAGAAAGAGAACAACTTTACCTCTCTCCAAGAACTATAACTGGAATTCTAACACTTGGGCATTGTTGAGATAGAGAGAGAGAGAGAGAGAGAGAGAGTGAGTGAGAGTTTGTAAACAAGAAGTTGGAAGGAGGTTTCTAAAACTTAATATGAAGAGTGGTGGGGTGTATAGATGTACTAGGGTTAATTATTAAGCTGGATGACCTTTTTTTCCTTTTTACACAATAATAAAACTTATAGTTTAATGATTTAAGTATTGGGGTGAACAAAGAGAAGTGCGGGGTTTAAATAGAAAATCTCTTAATATACACTATGTTAATTTGGCAGAAAGGGCATCATAAATTATTTCGACTTTTAATTACTATATGGAAAGAAGTAATTGGAACTTTTAATTATTTCAACACAATCGAGGGGAGGGGGCAAGGGGGTTCTGGTTTCTGCGAGTGCGGGGTGGGGGGGGTGTGGTCTGTAGGTGGTGGTTGGGAAACTGGGGAGAAGAAATTGGTGGGAGGTTTTCTTTTTCTCTATTTGATTTTTTTATTTATTTATATTTTCCTTATTTTTCTTAATTCTATACCTTGTAAAATGTCAAATTTATCCTTATATTTGACGGGTAGTTGGATGGAATTGTGAAAAAGCTAATGGCATGGGTGAAATTGGCTAATAAATTTGATACAATGGCTAAATTGGCTGAAAAATTAATTCATGGTGGAGATTTCGACAAGCGTAACAGTTCAGGGGGCATTCGATAGTTTACCCTTAAAAAAACTTAAAAAATTTGCCTTGAACATTTGTTATCTACTATCATTTGCATTTTATATGTGCGCCGTATTAATCATTCTTTCTTCTTTGTAGATGTGGATTAGGACAAAACAATGTCCCAATCCCCTTGCAATATGAATCTTCTTTCGATATTTGTTTAACCAAATTTACTCAATTAGCCTTTTTATTTAATTATTTCTCTTCCCATATATTTAGTACATTGTAAATGTTGTCTGTGAATGCGAGCGTATATCTTAACATCTTAGTAACTTTTTGAGTATGCTATCGATTTTAGGCTATTAATAGTGCTTGGAAAGAAGCATGCGCATCCACAACTCCGACCATGGTTGTGATAGCAAAAGGAAACTACATGGCCGGTCCAGTGAAGTTTCAAGGGCCCTGCAAAGCGTTGGTTAGCGTTCTAGTTGAAGGAACCCTGCAGGCTCTTGCAGAGCCAGAAAAGCTCAAGTCACAAGATGGTTGGGTCGTTTTCCAAAATATTGATGGGTTAACAGTCTCAGGAGGTGGCACTTTTGATGGCCAAGAATCAATGGCTTAATCCAAAAATGATTGTGTAAAATGCAACTCACCGCCAAGAGTACATTTTTAAATTTGGAGTGCACGTTTTTATTTATTTATCAATCTTGTGTGCTAGAAACGGAGGCTAACAAATAGAGTTTGCTCAATTGGGTTTCTTGAATGCAGAACATAAGATTCACAGGGCTCACCAATTCACAAATTTAAGACATAACATCTTTGAACATCAAGCTGTTTCACATAAACGTCTTAAAAAATTGCAAAAATGTGACACTTGAACATGTGATCATCACCACCCTTGGTGAAGCATGCATTGGATAAGGCCCTCACTCACTCCTTATAAACTCAGGCTAGATCCCTTAACTTTTTAATGTGAATATAAAACGAATTTCCAATAGTTATTTATCTTGTCACGACTGCTTTGTTACAAATTATGGTCAAGAATTTATTAGTTTGATTAGTGCGTTCGGAAACAATTTTTGGTTTATGAGAAATCAATTTTGTGTGTGTATTTTTTCGGTAATCTTTGCACCAAATTGGAGTATAACAGGTTTAGTACTTTTGGTTTATAAGTCATCCATGTCATAAATCTTTTCTTTCTAATCTGACATAGTCTTGGAAGAAAAAATCTTTTGCCCAAATTGGAAACTGAGCCAAGAGCCATTGTAGGTAATTCATGTTCTAAAAGCTGAGCAGCTTAATTAATTACTAATTATAGGATGGTTGACCTACATTCAACTTCTTAATTGGCCAAATAAATATTAACGGTGATGAGCTTTCCGATGGGAGTATAAATTGGGCTGAAAGCATTGGAGTTTCATCATACTCCAAACAAAAAGGAAATAACAAAGTCTCAAGATGGGTTTGAAACTGAAAAATGTCTTGCCAATGTTTGTGTTCTTGTTGTTAGCATCCACAGCTAAAGCTCAATCTGCTGCCTTAGATGTGACAAGTGCAAAATATGGTGGAAAGCCAGACGCTGATATTACCCAGGTAACAAAAACATTTGTATTCATAATCGGTTCTTATTAGAATTTGTTTCTACAATTGTTTGCCAAACTAAATCATTAACAGTTTTAAATTTGGGTAATGTTAATTAGGCTTTGGAGAAGGCTTGGACAGATGCATGTGCATCAACAGCACCAAGTAAAATTGTTGTTCCAAAGGGAACATTCAAGTTTGTAGGAACAACTTTTAAAGGTCCTTGCAAGGCTGCTATTGAGTTTCAACTCCAAGGAACATTGCAGGCTCCAGCAGATGGCAGCCAGCTCCCAAAGGACGACACTTGGATTGGTTTCGACAACGTCGACGGGCTCACCTTGTCAGGTGGTGGAACTTTTGATGGCCAAGGAGCACTGTCTTGGAAAAACAATGATTGCAACAAAAATAGACAATGCAAATCTAAACACATTGTAAGATGATTTAATCCTACCATGTTGTTTTATATACTTGAAAATCTTCTTGTGTCACATAGGAGCATTTGCGAAATCTTGCTCATTGATCAATTCTTGACTTGATGATACGTGATCCAGATTCACAGCCTGACAATAACAACATATTTGTGTTTGATTTGTTTTCTTAATATATGCAGAATTTGAGGTTCCATTTACTCACCAATTCCAAAATTTTGGATGTAACTTCAAAAGATAGCAAAAATTTCCACGTCAATCTTTTGAAGTGCGAGAAGGTTGAAATCAACGGATTTACCGTCTCAGCACCTAAGGAAAGCATGAACACAGATGGAATTCACATCGGTCGTTCAACTGGGATCAACATCACTGACACAACCATCGGAACTGGGGATGATTGTATTTCGATCGGTGACGGTACCAAGGACCTCACCGTGACCAACGTTGCTTGCGGGCCAGGCCACGGCATAGCCATCGGAAGCCTTGGAAGGTACCCAGAGGAAGAACCCGTGTCCGGCATCAATATTAAGAAATGCACCTTGACTAATACAACGAATGGTGTGAGGATCAAAACATGGCCTGCTTCCCCAAAAGATGGCACTGCCTCGGATATTCACTTTGAGGATATTACCATGGTTAATGTTGGTAACCCTATCCTCATTGACCAAGAGTACTGCCCATGGAACGAATGCAAAAAAGGGGTATCTATCTATAACAATTTATTCACATCATATATATGTTCCTTGTTAATCAAGTCATCCTTTACTTAATCTTTAAAAAGATTTAAATTAATCAATTAATGAATGGTTTTGTGTAGGCTCCTTCCAAAATTAAGATCAGTAATGTTAGCTTCAAGAACATCAAGGGCACCTGTACCGACCCAGTTGCTGTGAAGCTTGCATGCAGCCCAGGCCTGCCATGTGAGAATGTAGAATTGAGTGACATTGATCTCAAGTACATTGGAGACAAAGGCCCTATTACCTCTGTGTGTTCTAATGTCAAGCCGACAATTAATCGCGTGGCACAGCCTCTTGCTTGCGCTACCGCCGCTGTTGCTGCCCCTGCTGCTTGATCTAACAAGCGCAAACCATGCTGCTGATGTTTCTTCAAAGATACATTGGTTGTGTGCTCTTCGATTTTGTGATAATTGTACTTGGTGTTTTCATCTAAGAGGTGGAAAATATCTCAGTGCATTTTTTTGTTACATCTTAAAAGAGATGAATAAATTAGTAGGTATTACATGAAAATAATCATGGGAAAGAGAAAGAAAGTTTTATTTGATTAAAAAAGAATGTTATTGGAATATGAATCTTCTTTGGATATTTGTTTAACCAAATTTACTCAATTACCCTCTTTATTTAATTGTTTTTTCATGAACGACCACCTCGACGAGAGGTGTGCTACGAAGGGGAAGAGGGAGGGGTGATTCAGTCTTATGCTTTTATTTTTTGTGCAAGAATAGAAGTAAAAAATTTCAAACAAAAAAGAAGAAGAAGGATTATTAATTCTTGTAAAGTGTTGAGTTTAAATGCACATTAAAAAAAGGGTAAACTGCCGAATACCCCCTTGAACTATCATGCTTGTCGAAACTCCACCCTGAATTAATTTTTCAGCCAATTTAGCCCTTGTATTAAATTTATTCGCCAACTTCACCCTTGCCGTTAGCTTTTGACAATTTCCATCCAAATATCTGTCAAAAAAGTACCATGTTAGGCATATACTTCATTGTTGAATTAAAAATTCATTTTTTTTCTCTGTATCTTCAAAGAGCTTGAATGGGGGAGAAATAAATCATGGGGAGAGGGGGGAGAGGGGATTCTTGTTTCTGCAATTGTGGGTTGGGAGGACGGGGGATGGATATGTGGGTGGGGGTTGGTGGTCGGGATATGGGGGCAGAAGAAATCAGAATGTGTTAGAAGAAATCGGGGGAGGGGGTGCTGATTTTGGGTTTTGCGGGGTATGGGGGAATGGGGGAAACTAGAATTTATAAAAGAAGCTGAAACTAGGAAAAGAACTCCAAGAACTAGCAAAAACCCAATCCTTGCCAAGCTTTAAACTTTATGAACCATACAAAATTGACAACACCCAAGGTGGTTCGAACCGTGAATTCTTCAGTTAATTAAAAACAACATTTTTTTTTATAACAAAAGCATTATCTGTAAAGCTATAAATACTTATCTGCTGGTATGCTTTAATATAGAGATTTTCTATTTAAACCCCACACTTCTTTAGTTCACCCCATGTTCTAAGTTCACCCTAACTTTTAATTAAAATTTTCACAATTTCTAAGAAAACCACACTATCTTCCCAAACTACCCTTAAATACACCCCAAACTGAAAAAATAAAAATAAAAATAAAGAACTAAAATAGATTTTCTATTTAAACCCCACAATTTTCTTTGTTCCCATAAAAAAAAACAAACAAATGAAACCCCAAATTAGAAATTTAATACTTTCTAGAGAAAGAGAACAACTTTACCTCTCTCCAAGAACTATAACTGGAATTCTAACACTTGGGCATTGTTGAGATAGAGAGAGAGAGAGAGAGAGAGAGAGTGAGTGAGAGTTTGTAAACAAGAAGTTGGAAGGAGGTTTCTAAAACTTAATATGAAGAGTGGTGGGGTGTATAGATGTACTAGGGTTAATTATTAAGCTGGATGACCTTTTTTTCCTTTTTACACAATAATAAAACTTATAGTTTAATGATTTAAGTATTGGGGTGAACAAAGAGAAGTGCGGGGTTTAAATAGAAAATCTCTTAATATACACTATGTTAATTTGGCAGAAAGGGCATCATAAATTATTTCGACTTTTAATTACTATATGGAAAGAAGTAATTGGAACTTTTAATTATTTCAACACAATCGAGGGGAGGGGGCAAGGGGGTTCTGGTTTCTGCGAGTGCGGGGTGGGGGGGTGTGGTCTGTAGGTGGTGGTTGGGAAACTGGGGAGAAGAAATTGGTGGGAGGTTTTCTTTTTCTCTATTTGATTTTTTTATTTATTTATATTTTCCTTATTTTTCTTAATTCTATACCTTGTAAAATGTCAAATTTATCCTTATATTTGACGGGTAGTTGGATGGAATTGTGAAAAAGCTAATGGCATGGGTGAAATTGGCTAATAAATTTGATACAATGGCTAAATTGGCTGAAAAATTAATTCATGGTGGAGATTTCGACAAGCGTAACAGTTCAGGGGGCATTCGATAGTTTACCCTTAAAAAAACTTAAAAAATTTGCCTTGAACATTTGTTATCTACTATCATTTGCATTTTATATGTGCGCCGTATTAATCATTCTTTCTTCTTTGTAGATGTGGATTAGGACAAAACAATGTCCCAATCCCCTTGCAATATGAATCTTCTTTCGATATTTGTTTAACCAAATTTACTCAATTAGCCTTTTATTTAATTATTTCTCTTCCCATATATTTAGTACATTGTAAATGTTGTCTGTGAATGCGAGCGTATATCTTAACATCTTAGTAACTTTTTGAGTATGCTATCGATTTTAGGCTATTAATAGTGCTTGGAAAGAAGCATGCGCATCCACAACTCCGACCATGGTTGTGATAGCAAAAGGAAACTACATGGCCGGTCCAGTGAAGTTTCAAGGGCCCTGCAAAGCGTTGGTTAGCGTTCTAGTTGAAGGAACCCTGCAGGCTCTTGCAGAGCCAGAAAAGCTCAAGTCACAAGATGGTTGGGTCGTTTTCCAAAATATTGATGGGTTAACAGTCTCAGGAGGTGGCACTTTTGATGGCCAAGAATCAATGGCTTAATCCAAAAATGATTGTGTAAAATGCAACTCACCGCCAAGAGTACATTTTAAATTTGGAGTGCACGTTTTATTTATTTATCAATCTTGTGTGCTAGAAACGGAGGCTAACAAATAGAGTTTGCTCAATTGGGTTTCTTGAATGCAGAACATAAGATTCACAGGGCTCACCAATTCACAAATTTAAGACATAACATCTTTGAACATCAAGCTGTTTCACATAAACGTCTTAAAAAATTGCAAAAATGTGACACTTGAACATGTGATCATCACCACCCTTGGTGAAGCATGCATTGGATAAGGCCCTCACTCACTCCTTATAAACTCAGGCTAGATCCCTTAACTTTTTAATGTGAATATAAAACGAATTTCCAATAGTTATTTATCTTGTCACGACTGCTTTGTTACAAATTATGGTCAAGAATTTATTAGTTTGATTAGTGCGTTCGGAAACAATTTTTGGTTTATGAGAAATCAATTTTGTGTGTGTATTTTTTCGGTAATCTTTGCACCAAATTGGAGTATAACAGGTTTAGTACTTTTGGTTTATAAGTCATCCATGTCATAAATCTTTTCTTTCTAATCTGACATAGTCTTGGAAGAAAAAATCTTTTGCCCAAATTGGAAACTGAGCCAAGAGCCATTGTAGGTAATTCATGTTCTAAAAGCTGAGCAGCTTAATTAATTACTAATTATAGGATGGTTGACCTACATTCAACTTCTTAATTGGCCAAATAAATATTAACGGTGATGAGCTTTCCGATGGGAGTATAAATTGGGCTGAAAGCATTGGAGTTTCATCATACTCCAAACAAAAAGGAAATAACAAAGTCTCAAGATGGGTTTGAAACTGAAAAATGTCTTGCCAATGTTTGTGTTCTTGTTGTTAGCATCCACAGCTAAAGCTCAATCTGCTGCCTTAGATGTGACAAGTGCAAAATATGGTGGAAAGCCAGACGCTGATATTACCCAGGTAACAAAAACATTTGTATTCATAATCGGTTCTTATTAGAATTTGTTTCTACAATTGTTTGCCAAACTAAATCATTAACAGTTTTAAATTTGGGTAATGTTAATTAGGCTTTGGAGAAGGCTTGGACAGATGCATGTGCATCAACAGCACCAAGTAAAATTGTTGTTCCAAAGGGAACATTCAAGTTTGTAGGAACAACTTTTAAAGGTCCTTGCAAGGCTGCTATTGAGTTTCAACTCCAAGGAACATTGCAGGCT